CCACAGTCCTTCGCTTGCTCTTTGCAACTTGAAAGCACGGACATGCCCCTGGAAGCCTTTTTCTTCTCTATCCCACTGCTTCCCTAGAACATTTCCTCTCTGTTGGTGAAAATATCGTATGTTCCTGACTCCCAACTTTCTGGCTTAAGCTCAAAACTTCCTTCAATGCCAGACCCAGAGAGGCAACTGCTATTTGGCGTCTCATCTCGAATGCCTGATCACGGCCTCAAACCTCCAGCCTCCTCACAGAGGACTTCCCTTACTATCAGTCTGAAGTAGCTCCCCAGCACTCTTTGATAGCACCCCGGCCTACCTGTTACTTCTCACTACCTGATGTTTTCTCCCATTTCTTTACTGTTTGCTCCTTCCACTAGAACATCAGTTCCATGAAGCAGGGACCCTACCTGTTTTATCTACGTCTGTTGCATCTGCAATGCTTGAAACAGTGTCTGACACAGTAGGTACACAATAAACTTTTTGTTGAATGAAAGAACAAACGACTTTCTCGTGTCCATTAGTGGCAACCCAATTCTTCCATCCCAGGCTCAAATTCCTCTCTTATTCTCACTTCTTACAGAAAATACATTAGCAAATCCTACAGGCTTTAACTTCAGAATACACCTAGAACCTGACCAATTCCTATGAGTCTTAGTGCTTCCTCCCTGCTTATCATCTGTTGCCTTTGTTATTGCAATCTTATAAGTGTCCTTCCTGTTCTTGCCATTCTACAGTCTACTCTCTGTCAGGCTCTATAAAAGTGATCCTTTTTTTTTTTTTAAAGATTTTATTCATTTATTTTTTTAAAGATCTTATTTATTTGACAGAGAGAGACAGCACAAGCAGGGGGAGAATCAGAGGGAGAGGGAGAAGCAGGCTCCCCGATGAGCAGGGAGCCCAACACAGGGCTCGATCCCAAAACCCTGAGATCATAACCTCGATCCCAGGACCCTGAGATCATGACCTGAGCCAAAGGCAGATGCTTAATCAAATGAGCCATCCAGGCGCCCCTCAAGATTTTACGTAATCTCTACACCCAACAAAGGGCTTGAAATCACAACCCCAAGTCGCATGCTCCACCAACTGAGCCAGCCAGGCACCCAAAGAATGATCCTGTAAAACTAAGCTGAATCCTTCCACTCCTCTGCCTCAAATCCCCAATACGTCCCATGGCATTTGGAGTAAAGCTAAGGGCCTATTAGCCCTGTAAACAGGCCTCCCCTCCACCCCAACCCTCTCCTTTTTAGCTTCATCTGCTCTGACTCCCCTGCTCAGCCACACTGGCCTGCTTGCTGTTCCTCAAACAAGGCGAGCATGCTATTGCTTTAAGGTGGCCACAGGAATGTTCATCTCTGCAGGGATGTTCATCTCCCCACTATTGCCATGGCTCACTGCTTTGCTTCTTCCAGGTCCTTACTCAAATGTCATCTTCCCAGAGGCTTCCTAGACCATCCTACTTAAAACTGCAACCCTTCCCCCACCTTAGCACTCCTTCCTTCCAGCCTTTATTTTCCCCAAAGTCCTTATGACCATCTCACATACTCTCTATTTCTGATTTTATTTGTTACTTGTCTCCCTCCATGAGAAGGTAAGTTCCACAAGCATTCAGATGTTTTGTTTTTTTTTTAACTTCCCTATCTCCATGCCTAACATAGTGCACACACCATGCTTTCAGCTGAAGTTTGTTGAATGAGTGAGTGAATAAATGAATGTTCTCTTTCAGCCCTGTGGGTGGAAACGCAATAGAATTGGCTAGGTCCTATTTCTCCTGCCTGGGGCTCATTAAAGAACCTGTACCGAGCAGGCTGGCAATCAATGCATCCTGAAGAGAGGCCCTGATTCCTCAGGCGCGCTGGAATTCCTAGAAGCCATGGACAGTGTAACTTCCCAAAAGGTTCCAAACAGTTTGACAGCCTTTGGGTTTTACTGTCCACTCTGGAGAGAAGATGCCCACATGTGGGCCAGGAGGCCGGGGAACGAACGCGGAAGAGCTGGTGGTCCTGTAAGAAACACTCAGCCTGCTCTCGCGACGCCCGCACACCTCCAGGCCTCCGGGAGCCAGGACCCGCTCCGCGGCCCCATCCCCGCTCGCTCCGGCCACCAGCTCCCTCCCGCGGCCACCGCCTCGTTCTGCACGCGGCTCCCAACTTGCTCCGGCCCTGCCAAAGCGGGCCCGGTTTCCCGACGTCCCCCAGCAGAGGCGGGGAAACGCCCCTTCCGTCCGGCCCTCCCCGCTCACCGGGACCCTCCAGGCGGTGTCCGAGCCCCGTGATTCCGGGTAGAGCTTGTTCAGGCTGTAGATGCTCTGGAACTCGGTGCCATCTGCCTGCTTGTGCAGAGCCCGCTGGGGACAGCGCGCGGGCGGCGGTAGCACCCAGGCCCCGGCTCGTCTGAGGCTCCAGCGCAGGCACCGAGCGGTCGCCATGTTTGGGTCTCGGGGCCGCTTCCGGTGGGTGTTTCCTTCCGCGGCCCGCCGGCCCCTGTTTCCCTCCGGACTTTAGTTCCGCGAGGCTTTTAGTGCCAGCCGGCGTCGCGGGGAGGCGTCGAGCTGAGCTCCCGGGTCGCTCTCCCCGGCACCTGTGAGACGTTCCCCCTTCCGCCGCGTCGGGGAGGCCAGGTTGGAGCGCTGAGGTCCACTGTTGGCCAGACGGCGAGCTCTCAAGGGAGCCTCCTGGTGAAAAGAACCCCTGGAATCCGTGTCCCCCAGAAACACTTCTCTCCTTTTCAGGGGCTGTGCCCACCTCCTGGACCGCTCTCCCCTCCAAGTTTCCATCAGTGCGTCCTGCCCTGCCTGGCCTAGTTCGTCTCCATCCCCTTTACTCTGACTCTGCTCTTCTTTATTTTCTTTTTTTCTAGTTTATTGCCTGTCTCCAGTCAGAATATAATAAGCTCTGGGGGTGGGTGGGGGGCTTTGGCTCACTGCTGAGTCCCCAGCACCCAGAACCTGGCACATCATAGATACGCAATAAATATTCATAAGATGAGTTATTTGGCAGTGTTTTTGAAAGGTGAATTCTGCTAGAGCCGAGTTTTAGTAACTTGAGGTTTATTCACAAGGCAGTGTAAGCAAATCCCGGCTGAGCAGGTGTGTGAAGTCTCTGCAAGACAAATGACCAGATGGGAGGAGAAGCAGGCAGGTGGAGAAAGACGTGTTTTTAAAAGTGGACCCACACCCCTTCACAGAAGCAACAGCTTTGTGGGGCATGATGACAGTTTCTCCTAGCCAGGAGATAAAGGAATGCTGAGGGAGCGGGTAGAGATTCAGGCAGCCACAGACAGGCTAAGCAGAGCTCTTTTCCAGGGTTCTTAAGACATGAACCTCAAAACAGAAGTTCCAACTCTGAGAAAGGTTCAAAGCAGAGCAAGCACTGTTGGAGAGAGCTAAGTGTTGGCTAAGTTCCTTTGGAGAGAGGCGATGTGGAAACAGCTCAATGAATGATTAGTGACTATTAGTCATTCTAGTGATTGTTTTGTAATGAAGAGTTCTATTTTTAGTAAAAGCACAATTACCTAGAAAAATATGTCCCTAGGGATGCAGGCTGTTTGAAAAAGGAGACTGTCATCAAATTGAGGCTTTACCATTTTAGTCTCATCGCTACAGGCATATTCTTTAGGAAGGAATAAACTACTTCCCAGGCACTGGCTTTGAAAACGCCAACTAGGAAGGGAATGGCGATAGACATTCGCCTTTTGGGCTCTAGGCTGGAAGGGGAATCTCTCGGGTCCCTCCCTGTTTTAGTCCCAAGACCTCAGAGGGAACTGAGGCGTCTCTATGGTGAGGGGCATAAGATGCTCCAGGGAGCAAAACCAGGGACTCACTTAGGTCGACAGCTCAGGGATTATGAATAATAAAGTCAGCACCATTTCATGGCATCATTGCTCTGAGGCTGGGCTCCAGCCCTGTTCCTGACCCAGAGTGATAGAAAAAAGGAGCTGTAGGTTTCCATGGCCTCAAATAAACCCAGCCTGCTCAGGCCATCTGGTGGCCTGGATTCTGGAAGTGGCGGGGGGGGGGGGGGGCGGGTAGAGGAGAGAGTGAGATGAGCTATCCCAGGGTGGAGAGAAGAGCAGCTAGCAAGCTCCTCTCACCTGCTGCTGTTGTGAACCCTCCAGAATAGAGGCCCTTCTGGAAGAAACAGGCCTAAGAGATGCCACCTGTCCCCTTCAAAAGGTGGGCACCAACGGCTGAGGCCAGCCTTTTCCTTCCCCTCCTTGGCCCTCCAGGGGTTGAAATGGGGCTTCAAGAAGGGGACATTCAGAGGCAAGAAAGAAGGGAAGAAAAGACAAAGCATCACTAAGCCATTCCTGGCAGCTTCGAAGAGCTTGCAGGCACCAGCCCTTCTCTCTGGCCTGAGTTGGGGACCCACAGGATTTTCCTTTCTTCTTTTCTGGAGTGCCGTGGGTCGGACTGGTCTTAAAACTAAACATTACAAAGAGATAGGCGTGTGCAGTATTGCAGAGTGGAACTGGTCAGTTCGGGGTTTGAATATTTCTATGGGACTCTGAATTACTAACAACCATGAAGCCTCAGAATCTCCATCAGTAGAACAGAGATTTTATAGCTGCCTCCCAAGGTTGACACTGCCTGGCATGAAGTCAGCAAGTCAGCAGGCAACAAAAGTTCGCTGCCGTGAGGGGGGTCATAACGAACTTCTTTTTACTTTCAGAGATTGGGTGGCGTTTATTTTTTTTCTCTGCAGCACTGGGGTAGGAAATCCAGTCTTCACTAGCTCTATTCCAGACCCACCTTCCTTCCTCCCTGAAGGGCTGAGCAGACAGTGCAGAGTGGGCAAATCTACCCTTTCTTCCTGGAACCTGCTTCCTTCACCACCACCCCTTATCTGCCCAGTCCCCTGATAACACCCCAGGCATTCGGCTGTTTGGCTGCAGGATCCCAGGAGAGTGAAGGTCAGGACACCCCCCTCCGCCCCCAGCCCCAGAGCTGTGTGATGAGAGGCGGGTGTGTGAGACACACAAAGACAGGACCATGGCTCTAGGGCCATTTCTGCTTTTAGAATACTGGTGCATTTTTTATTAAAGAAGAGAATAAAGCATTTGTAAATATATTTCTCTCGTGTATACTTCAAAGGGGACGCTGGTCGGCCGCTACAGAACTGGGGAGCAAACAGGAGGAGCCCTTCCCCCACCCTATCCCCTCCACCCTAGATGACAGAGACACACGGAGGGCTGGGGGCTGCCCAGCTCCAAAGGACAAAGGGTTCCAAGATGTGTGAACGGAAGGACCAGCCGACAGCGCTCATCACAGTGCTGCCCAGAGAGCAGGGTAGCGCCTCCAGGGAGGTCGGGCATGCTTGTTAAGAAAACCCCTTTACCCCTTAGAAACAGATAAGGCATGAAGGTCCCTCCTGGGTTGCCAGCACAGAGGCCAGGGCTACCCCCTTCCACCGGGCTGTGTGGCTCCTCCAATTTCTAGGATCTCAGGATGGGTGGCAGAAGGAACTGGAAACCCTGAAAAACTGCTCAGGGCAAGCTGGGGACCTGGACATCTCTTAGCTGAAGCTGGACTTTCTGAAGCCTTAATAAAAGGTTTAACCTGTGACCCAGGTGGGTCCTCAAAAGCCCCCCACAAAGGTGAGAGCTTAAGAACAGGCATTCTATGGGAGAGGAGACATGCTCTCCACCAGGTCCCATTTCAATACTGTTCAGTATAGAGTGGGAATATTGGGTAGTCCCCACTGAAGGGGGGCAGGGGCGGATGCTGGGACCATTGGCTGGTGGCACACTCCTGGGACATTCTGGGGGTAGCAGGCATGATCTGAGGAGGGGTCAGCCTGTGGGGAGCATGGGAGTGAATGAGACACATCATGGTCCCTGAGATGGGGGCAGGCAGAGGCCAAGCTTGGCGAGTCAGAGGTGGCGTGCAGAGATGGGGGCTCCCCACCGCCCAGACTCCTGGAAGGCTTAATGGCCAGAAGGCATTTCCAGGGCTGGAGCCCGAGGAGACGGGCTCTGAGGGAAGCAGGGTGCACTGTTCATGTATGGCTGCCGAGGGGCTCCCTGTTCCCCTCCTCTGATTGGCTACAGATCTGCAGTGGGCTGAGGGTCTCCAGGGAGAAGTGGGGGGCACTCCAGGCCTGGCTGAGGCATTCTGCTCTCCATGGCAGGGGCCGTCTCTGACCTGGTCAGGACCCTGGGGGTGGGACAGCTGGTGCTAAGGGAATGACAGCGCGTCACAGCCGGGGAGAAGCAGTGGGTGGTCCAGGAGACCCCTGGAACCTGCAACAGCTGGCTCTGGGATCCCCCTTCAAGTGTTTTCAGTTGTGGCAAGGGGTCAGGGAGAACTTGCATTGCAAATCTCTCAAAACAAAAAACAAAAAACAAAACAAACAAACAAAAAAAACTTAGAAAAAAAGAAAAAAGCCAAGTGGTCCAAAATGGCTTTCAGAAGCTTGGCCACAAATCTGTGAGCAAGGCCTAGGGTCAGGAAGCCAAGGGCTGGGGAGCTGGGAATCCTGGGGGGTGGGGTGGGGGACATGTTTGGCTTTGCAACTCTTAGCTGCGTCTTTGGGCTGACGCAGGATGGAGGAGGGTCCTGGGTCCTGGGAGGCCAGATGCGTTATAGGTTGGCCACCTCCCGAATGAGCTGAGAACAAGCTGCGTCCCCCACACACTCCCTGGGCCAGAGAGCAGCCTCCCCTGGGCCGTATTGCTGCTGATGGGCTCCCTCCCTCACCGGAGGCTGCATGGCCCAGGCAGGAGGGGCCCCGTGGCCGGACCCTGGAGGAGGCTGCAGGCGGGGATAGGGTCACTTGCTGCTGTGCGTCTTGACTTTGGGGAAAGGGTCACTTGCTGCTGTGCGTCTTGACTTTGGTGGCATTGATGTCGGCCTTGGTCTTCTGGATCCTGGAAAAGATCTCCTTGAAAAGCGCCTTGTACTCGGGCTGGCTCTGCTCCAGCCGCTTGTCCACCGCCTCCACGTGCTGGCTCAGGCTCTTCTCCCCTGCCTTGGCCTCCCCCTGACCCTCCTCGCCCCCACGAAGGTCTCTCCACGAGCTGTCCCGGGAGACGGGCCTCGAGGTCTGCACGCCGGCATGCCGCACCCCGGCGCCGTGCTGCCGGCACTTGCTCAGCAGCTCCTCATATTTCTCGAGCAGCGCGTGGTACTGCTCGTCCACCTCCCGCAGGATGGACATGCCGCGCTTGCGCACGCTGTTGGCATGCAGCGTGAGGTTGCCCGCGTGCCGGCTGGCGGGGTCTTTGGCCACGATGGCGTTGAGCGCGGTGTCGCTGCAGCTCTTGCGCACAGCGTGGCCCGGGGAGGCGGCCGGCGAGGAGACGCCGTCCTGGGTAGCTGAGTCGTCCCCGCTGCCGGGCTGGGGGTCATCGGCCTCGGGGGCCTGGGTGAGGGGCGCGAGCAGGGCCTCGGCCAGGTGGTCCTCCCGGCCCAGCAGGTAGGTCTTGGCCTGCTTCATCTGCTGCAGCTCCAGCAGCTCGGCCTCCAGCTCCTGCACGCGCAGGCGGCAGCCCTCCATGTCGCACAGCTGCCGCTCCAGCTCCGAGTACTCCTGCAGCACCGCCGCGTACTCGCGCTCCGCCCGCTCCTTGCGCTGCCGCTCCTGGCTCACCTGGGAACGCAGCACACCCACCAAGGTCTGCAGTCGCTCGTTCTCCTGCTCCAGGGGCCGCGGGCCCAGCTCCAAGGAGGAACTGTGCAGGCGGAAGGCATCCTCACACCTGAGAGGGGGCAGGGGAGGGCCGGTAGAATCCGGTCAAGGCCAAGGGCCCGGGTCCAGCTCCCCACGCTTAACACCTCTCCCGTCCACTGGGGGATATTCTGTTTGCCCCTCTAGATCCACTCTCTGGCCTTTCTCTCCCTGCTCTCTGCCCGGGGCGGCTGACCACAGTGAACTGCTTCAGCCAGGTTTCTGCTCTCTCCTGAGCTCAACCAGAGGGAGGCAGGGGCAGGAAGTCGGAGGGCAGGAACAGAGGCAGGTCAAGGAAGGTCTTCTCCAGACTCCTTCCCTGGTTAGTGCTGGTCGAGCAGCACCCCCTGGCCTTCCAGGAACCTCCCTTCCCTTGGCCCCTTCAGGCCTAGGGGATGGTAACAGCCCCTTGCTGTTGCAACCCCAGGGTACTGCAGTGTCCCTGCGGTTTCCCTGCACCTTCGTCCACACCTCTTCATTAATCACTCTGTGCAAGGCACTGTCTCATGCCAGGACCCTTATTGAAATACCCACTAAATATACAATATGTATTTTAAAAAAAAATTTTTTTTTCTTTAAGATTTATTTTGGACTCCTGGGTGCCCCAGTCGGTGTCTGCTTCAACTCAGGTCATGATCCCAGGGTCCTGGGATCGAGTCCCACATGGGTATTCCTGCTCCTCCAGGAGCCTGCTTCTCCCTCTCCCTCTGCTGCTCCCCCTGCTTGTGCTCTCTCTCTGTCAAATAAATAAATAAAATCTTTTAAAAAAAGATTTATTTGCCTATTTGAGAGAGAGTGTGTGCGTGGGGGTGGGGAGGGCAGAGGGAGAGAATCTTCCAGCGGACTCCCTGCTGAGCATGGAGCCCCTGGTGGGCACCATCTCACACCCCATGAGATCGTGACCTGAGTTGAAACCAAGAATCAGATGCCCAACCAACTGAGCCACCCAGGTGTCCCCACAATTATGTATTTTTATATTAAGAGGCCATCCCTTTCAGATTTAATGGGAATGCCCAGCATGGAGCCTGCTTGAGATTCTCTCTCCCTCTCCCTTTGCCCCCCCTCCACTTCCCTCTCTAAAGAAAAAAAAAAGGGGGGGGGACTGAAAGGTGTAGTGGTTACCTCCTCCTGAGTTGGAATTCTAGCTTACTGAAGAGGTGACCTTGGATAAGCTCACATAAGCTCTGAGCTTCCGTCTCCTCACCTGAGCGGTGAGGATGATAAACCATAGCTCACGGTATTGCCATGGGAATGAAATCACTTAGAGCGGTGGGCACGCGGCCAGGGCTCGGTCAATGCCAGCTGCTGATGGTTGGTGGCAACAGGGCCAGTCCCTCCGACAGCCTGACGGTGCACCAACTCTCATTCCCACCCGCTGCCTGGGGCCCACCCTCTCCTTTCTTCGGGACGCAGGGACACCGTGCAGGGTCCGGGTGGGCTTTCCCTCCACGGGGTGCCCTCACCTACCGGGGGCTGGTGCACAGCTCCCTGAGGCAGGGGAAGGTGTGGACGGTGCGTCTGCGCTCCCGCTTCTCTCGGCGCACCCGCAGCTGCTCCAGGCCCCGCAGCTGCTCCACCTGGGCCTGCAGCTCCTCCACCTGGGCCTGCAGGCGCTCGATGGTCTCTGTCAGCCTGGGGGTGGTGGGGGGTCGCACACAGGAGGGATTTTACCCAGACGGGGCCAGCCCTCCTCACTGCAGGCCTGGAGGGACTCAGGGATGGGGAAAGATGGGCCCTGCTGCCTGGTGCCTGAGGTCAGACGAGAACTCCCTGTGTACCCAGGACCCACCCTTCTTCTGCGCCTCCCCAGCTGAGCTGACCATTCTCCTCTGTGTCACCTCAGTTCCTCCCACACCCTTTGAGCACTTACCATCCTGCACCTCAATAAAGTATTTACATGCCTGCCTCCCCTCCCGGGCTGTGAGCTCCCAGAGGGCGGGATGGTCTCGGTATCCCCATCGCCATGTCCCCAGTGCCTAAACAGAGCCTGGTGTGTAGCTGGGGCTTCAAGAGGGGTTGTGGCCTGAACATGAAACCACCCGAAACTGACAAGGGCAATCTCACTACCAACCCGGGTCCCCAGGCCTGGGCTTCTGGGAGAAGGAGCATGGGTCACACCCACCGGACAGTATGCCCACATGCAACCCAACCTGACCTCTCCCTCGCTCGCCCCCCAGCCCGCCCCCCGGCCCTCACCCATGGATCTTCTGCTGGGCAGCCTTACTCTCCAGCACCAGCTTCTGGTTGGTCAGCTCCAGGTCTCGGGCTGTCAGGTCCAGCTGCTCGTACACTTTGGCATGCTGCTCATTCATGTGCCGCAGTGTGTCCAGCTGCTTGGTTAGGTACTGGAGGGGAGAGGATTGAGTACCCTTTCAGAACAGGGTTGGGGGAAATGTGTTCACCTGGACCTCTTCCCACTTCTAGGAACACGTTTGCTTTGGGAAATTTGTCGGCGACAGAGCGGGGGGTAAAGATGGTGGCACGATAGGGCCGCCCGGGATAGTTGTACGGGTTGTGGACTGCACAAGGCTATGGGGCTAAAGCTGTGTCTGCTAAGAGGGCACCTTTCTCTAAGTTACACAAAGGTACCACAGGCCCAGGGGTCCTTAACGGGTGGGGGAGCACATGCAGGGCCTATGTGGCCCCTCACCTCGATCTCCTGCACTTGCTCCTCATTGGTGGAGTACATCTGCTGCAGAGACTCCTCCAGCTCCTTGTTCCTCTCCAGCAGGGTCTTCCCCAGCTCTGCGGCCAAGTGCAAGTCTAGAAGAGGGGGGGCAGAGGGTGGGAGTAACAATGAGCAGCTGAACGAGCTCAGAGGACTCCCATAAGTGTTCTGAGCATTCATTTTGGGCTATGCTTTGGGGACCCCAAGACAACCAGGACACAGAGCTGCCCTCAGGGAGCCTCTGGGCCTGGAAGGGGATGTAAGCCAGGAGCTACAACTTTGCACTGACTGTCCCTTCTGTCTGGAATGCTCAGTGGGGAAGTCTGTTTCTCCTTGCCCATCCCCCCAGCTTGTGCTCTCTCCCTCTCTCTCTCTCAAATAAATAAATGAATAAATAATCCTTGAAAAAATGAGTGGGAGGAATGTGCTAAGACAACCAACAGACATGGGGAAAGTGCCCTGGGATGATAGGTATGGATGAGCTCACTCTTCCTGGGGTCGGCTGGAGGCTCCGGCAATGGGCAGCTTGCAAGCTGGGTTTGGAAGGGTGACTAGGAGCTCGTTGAGATGGGAAGGGAGCAGAAAGGCTTGCTGGGTATTAGAACTGGATGAGGCTTCAGAGCTGTTTGGTCTAACCTCCTTATTCTATGGGTGACAGGCTGGAGAGCAAGAGCGAAGAATGACCTGCCCAAGGTTATGGCCACGTTGGAAGCAGAATTCAGGTCTCCTGGCCTTGGTCAGGTACCGTTGGGTTCTAGTGACATGGGCCCCTCTCAGAAACCTCCTTTCCCTGGGCAGCAAAACCATCACCCTCTTCTCCCAAGCAGCCCTGATTCTTGTACCCTACAGGACTGGAACCTACTACTCTCCCCCATCCCAGCCGAAAGTAAACGAACACTGTCAGGCTGGGAGGGGATCCAGCCTGTTTTTAGGGGGTTGTGTGGTGGGGAGGGGGAGGGGCTAAAAGGAAGTGGCAGGTGCTGGAATCCCTAAAAATTCTCTCTAGTGGGTCTGGGGTTGTGTGAGGGTAACTAGACATTTGGGGTAGATATTCCTCCATATACATGCCTCACTCTTCTTAGAAACAAAGGGAATGGCGTATTATTATCGAGGGAAAATATATTATTTCTTTGATTTCTAAGAAGAGTTCAGCAGAACGATGAAAATGTTCTAAAGCTGACAATGGGGATGACTGCACTGTGAATATGCTGGAGACTGTTGCACTGCTGTGCACTTTAAGTGAGTGAGTTACCTGGTGTGTGAATTACATCTCAGTAAAGCTGTTTCTAAAAAAAAGATTCAGGCAGCTTAATCAGGAGACAGAGACTGGTGGTGGGGGCAAGGCCCTTAAGGAGGTCGGTAGACAGACTCTGGTGGAGTTCACAAGGCCCTCCCTCCCTCCCTCCCTCCCTCCCTTTCTTCCTCTTTCCTCTCTCTCTCTTTCTTTTTAAAAAAAGATTTATTTATTTATTTGGGAGAGAGAGAGCACAAGCAAACACACAGAGGGAGAGGGAGAAGCAGACTCCCCGCTGAGCAGGGAGCCCGATGCGGGGCTCGATCCCAGGATCCTGGGAACATGACCTGAACGGTAGGCAAATGCTTGATCGACTGAGCCACTCAGGTGCCCCTCCTTTTTTTTTTTTAAGGCTCTTTTCTTTTTAAAATTGCTTTAAGGCTTGTGTGAAGGTGTACTTGATGTAAAAAAATCAAACAGCACAGAAAGGTTAACAAAGGTGACCAAAATATTACTTGAAAATGTACCTCATATATTCTTAGATCTATAACTGGGAATTCCACAAACAAATGGACATGGCCTCAAATAGTTATCAAAAGAATAGTGCCATCTGTAAGTAATTAGAGGTAGGGTCCGTGCAGGGCGGGAGAGGAGAGGGGAGCAAGCAAGTAGAAGAAAATGCCCCACTTAGAGAAAGACGCTCAACATGCAGGGAACCTCCTTCTAAACAGCCCTCTGGGCTTAGAGCTGCTATAGAAACGACTTTGTGTGAACAGAATGTTTTTCTGTACCTGCTTTTTTCATTTCACAATTTGGCATAAACAGTTTTCTGTGTCCACATAGATCTACAGGGCCATTTTTAGTGGGTGTGAATGTTCTATTGTATACAGGTCCCTAAGTAGCCCTTACTGTTGGATTTTTAGGAATCTCCCCCCCTTTTTTTTCTCTGTTAAAAATGTAACTGGGGTTGCCCAGGTGGCTCAGTTGGTAAAGAGTCTGCGTTCCGCTCAGGTCATGATCTCAGGGTCCTGGGGTCGAGCTCCGCGTCGGGCTCCCTACTCAGCGGAGAGTCTGCTTTTCCCTTTGCCCTGCTCCCCCACTCATGCTTTCTCTCTCTCAAACAAATAAATAAGATCTTTTAAAAAATGAAACTACAAAAATTCATAGTACAAAAATCTTGGTGCAAATCACTGCCTATATCCTGAAGATCCTTTCCCAGAAACAGAATCCGCGCGGGACAAAGAGTAGGCCTATTTGATTCATTCTGCCAAAATGCGGTCCAGGAAAGCGTGGGTCTTTTTCCCATTGTGAGGTTGTTTCTTAAAACAGCCCTCCATCTAGGCTGATGGTATAAATCCAGATCGAGATGCATAAAGGCAACTCTGCTGGGGCCGATGTGATGTGGTCCAGGGATTCAAGTCTTTAATGCTTTCCGTGTTCAGACAGTGACCATTCTAGACTCCCCAGAGGATGGAGGGTCTCTATAGCCCCCCATAGAGAGTTTCATCAGTACAGTTGTTTCAGCAGAGCCCCTTGCTGGGCACTGGCCAGGTCTGGGGAGGAGGCTTCTCAGAAGAGCCTAGGAGACCAGCGACTCCCTGTGGGCCTAGGAAAGCAGAGCTTCGGGCTTTTTCTCAGCCAGGCTGGGGGTCGGACTGAGATCACCTTACGGAATCCAGAGGGCCTGGACAAAAGGCCCAGCTGCCTGTCGGGAACAAGCCTAGAGTCTGCTCCCACACTAGAGGTAAGGTTTTGAAACAGCCAGAGTGGAGTCTCCAGGCTGGGCCTCAGGCAGCAGCAGGGCCCTGTGCCCGGATGTCACCCAGAGGAGTTTCCTGGAGGAGTGCAAAGCTGCTATCCCGGAGAAAGGCTGCAATAACCTAGCCTGGGAAAACAAAAGCTGTTTTCCTAAACAGCTACCTCAGCCAATGAAAAAAAATAATCAGGGGCACCTGGGTGGCTCAGTGGGTTGAGCATCCGACTCTTGGTTTCAGATTCGGCTCAGGTCAGATCGAGCCCCGCAGTGGGCTTGGCGCTCAGCGTGGAGTCTGCTTGTCCTCTCCCTCCTCCTCTGCTCTTCCCCTCACTGTCTCTCAAATAAATAAAATCTTTAAAAAAAAAATAATCATATAGGGCGCCTGGGTGTCTCAGATGGTTAAGTGTCTGCCTTCGGCTCAGGTCATAATCCCAGGGTCCTGGGATCGAGTCCCACATCGGGCTCCCTGCTCCTTGGGAGCCTGCTTCTCCCTCTGCCTCTCTCTCTCTCTGTCTCTCATGAATAAAAAAATAAAATCTTTAAAAAAAATAATCATATAGATCTCAGATAAGAACCTTCAGCTTTGAGCACTGAACTTCGGATGATGATGGCGAGAAAAACCAGTTACCTAATACAGACCAGGAGGGGAATGGGGCCACTCGCAGTATGAATTTATGAACTATAAGTTGGGCAAATGTCTACAAAGTGTGAAGGCGTCTGGAGGCATCCGTCTACAAAGCGTGAGGTTTGGTGTGAGTATTGTAGCGCAGCCCTACGTTAGGTTGAGTGCTTGGTGCAATTCGGGAGCCCAGCAAGACCACCCCTGCTTCGTGATGAGGCAGCCACACCATTTTCCTACTTTCTGAAATGAGATGGCGAACATATGGCTCATCCCCAAACAGTATCAAATAACTCAGGTACAATGAAAAAGAACAGAGGGCCACACTCATCAGGGCTTTCTCCTCTGGGAACTGGCAGGTGGCCTGTGAAGAGGCCATTGCTACCGATGCTGGCATCGGGGGACAGGGTCCATGGGTGGCCTGCTTGGAGTTCCTGCAGCTTAACCTAGAGTCCAAGACCTCAGGCTCTGAAGCTGAGTGAGGAAAGGCCACAAACAACTGCATTTTACGCTTTTCTTGCCAGGTGAGCACCTGAGCTGTGTGTGTATTTCTACCGCCGGGCTGGGGCAGCTGCAAGTCACTATAAACCAGGGACACAGAAGCTTGCCTTGTGAAGGCAGCGAACGTAACCAGGCCGCCCAGTGACTCAGGGGTGGGGAGGAACACAATAGAAGCTGTTTGGGGTGGGGGAGAACCTCAAAGACTGTCTTGGGGAAACTGGATCACAATGTAAGCTAAGCTGGTTGAAGCTGCCAGGAGGGTTCACGGGAGAAGTCTAGAAGCTGCAGAGCAGGGGACTGGCTGGAGCCAAGTACTGGGGAAGGTACACCAGCTAGCAGAGGGCTGGTGATGGCTTTCGGCTCCGGTGGGGGGGGCGTACAGCTCCCCCTGGACCAGGGGTCGGGGAGGCCTCGGGGTGGGAGAATGGGGGAGCTGGCTAAGCAGGAAGTAGATGCTGGAGTCATAAATAGCCTGTCACGGCTGGATTAATGGTCACACTGGACCAAGCTGGGGGGAGATACCAAGTCTAAATGGGCACCCCACCCCCGCGCCTGGACCCTGGGATTTTCTGGGGTCTCCTGTAGTGGGCTTCAGCAGTTTTGCCCTCTGAGTGCCTGCTGATGTGCTCCCCATGAGCAATGCCCTAAAGGCCTGAGAGGGAATGGCTGGGAGCTTCAGGGATGTCTTTGAAAAGAAACCCTGAAACCCCACTGTCCCCACTGGTTGGGGTTGGGGTGGGGCCCACAGACTCTGGGGCAGAGAGGTAGGAAAGGGACAGGGGACAGGCACAGGGATGAAGGGACAAAGATAAAGCGGGTGGGGGGAGGCAATCTACCACCTGCAGGGCTGCAGGATTCCTGCTTACAACCTCCAGGGCACAGATGTCAGGAACCCTGGGTCCACACAACTGGGGTCCAGTCACCCCCCTTCCCCTTGCCATGTCAGAGCTCTGGCCCAAGGCTGAGACTCAAGGTCAGGCACCCAGGACTTCAAATCTGTGACTCAGCAGCCCTCTCTCAGCTCGGAAAGAGGTACCACAGGGCCCCCCATGCCTGGTCCAAGGTCAGGAAGGGAGGCGGGCAGAGAGAGACAACCTGTGTTTAATGATCAATGGCTTTTTCTATTTTTACAGGTGCTGGTGTCAGTGGGCGGAGGGAACATGGTGAGGATTTAGGACCTTGCTTGTCCCAACCGCCTCCCTCCACTGGGAAAAAACAGCATCCAAGTCAAACAGCATCTGGAAGGCCAAGCTTCCGGAAAGTACAGTTGGGGCTACCCTCAGGGCAGGGGGAGACAAATACAGAAGGGAGGACAGGCTGGCTGAGCAAACCACCTTCTGAGCCACTCAGAGGCACTGGGGACAGGGAAAGGGGATGCAACAGGCACCTGATCCCCAGTGCGGCTGGCCTTTGGCCCATTCTTCACCCCATCATCTAGCTCTCTGTGCTGGGCTCTAGGAGGTGGTGCTGCAGTGGCCGTGCCTGAGATTTCCCGGGAGCCCACCCCTGGCACTCTAGATGGCTCCTACTTTCTAGCTGTGTGTGGTCTTCTCACATTGCTCTGTACCTTGGTTGGCATTGTGTTCCCTCCACCTTGAATGCCCAGACAGCCCCTATTCACCCTCCAGCTCAGAGGGGCTTTTGCAGAAACCGTTATGAGTCTCATAGCAGAAGGCCCTCTGCTCTCACTACAGAGACAGAGGGCCTTCTGCCCTCGCCGAGGGTGAGGGGACATTTGTTTTTAGGTCATAAACCCTGATTTCTTCGGACACTGCCTCATTTCTGGTTTCCCTCCTTATTCCTGGGCCCTGGCTACTCCTGGGGCCACAAGACAAGGCCGGCTGCTGCAGACCAGCAAGGCCAGCCCCTACCTTGGTCCCAGAGCATGGCTGCCCAGCCCAGCTCGAATCTTGACACCTCTTACTCTCCGGAAGCAGCACGTCTCCCACCCCTACTCTCTGGCTCCTTCCTCCCACATCTGGGCTGGGCAGCATGCCAGAGACTTTGTTAGGGGTGCGGGAATGAAATGAGACAGCAACAATATCAGCATCAGCTTCCCAGGAAGCCATCTTCCCAGGCGCTCAGCTTCCAGTCTTTCCATCTAGGCCTGCCTCTTCCATGAAGCCCTCTTACTGCATCCTAATACCCACACTCAGTTACAGGCCCACCTCCACCGCCCGGGTGCACCCAGGAGGCCAGGGCTGAGACTATCCCAGCTCCCAGGATGGTGTCTGACACTTAAGTGTCAGCCAAGGAGGTTTTTGTGGGATGCAAAATTTGGGGGGTGGTGCCCAGGATAGGGGAGGGAGTTGTCACAGCTAGTACTGGACATCATACTCCACGCAGGGAGGCTGAGGGTAGACTCCAGGGCAAAGACTATGGCAGAGTTCAGCCCAGCATCCCAGTCCCACACTGGTCCCCCAGAGGCTCTGATTAACCCACGCTCCTGAGTACAAGGACAGTCTCATCTACCAGCAAATCTTGCCACGTGGGGATGTGGGTCAGGACCAGGAAACAAAGGCTCCAGGATCTAGGTGGATGTCTCAGACGAGGGCAAAGTGAGGCATCTGGGGCCCCAGTGGATGGCAACTCAGAGCAGGGGTGTTAGTACACACTGGACCACACTTGTGTCCACACTCGCTTGGCTTGCTGGGTGACGGTAGTCACTTCTCCTGGACATATTTCCTTGCCATTCCAGCTCTAACCATCCAAGAATGAGGCACTTTGGGGGAAAAGAGGGTAGATTTGATGCTGTTCCAGGAGACCTTGGCCCTGACCCTCTTAGGCCTCCTCCTCCTTCCTGTCTCACAGCTCCGCCCCCTGCCTGCAGTGATGTCACGTTGGCCACCTCATCACCAGATTCTAACCCCCTTCCAGCCACCCTCTCTACCCTCAGATGGGAGTGGGGGAGGTGGCTCCCACTTTACTCGGGCTCTAGTCTGGTGCATTGCTCAGAATTCCCAAACCTGGTTCCTTCCGAATCATGAGTCATTTGAGAGAGGGCTGGGAGGGAAAGGGCCAGGGGACCCCCTTCCCCTCAGGAAGGCAGATTGGAGACTCTAAGTTTTTGCTGCTTCTTGGCCAGCAGGGTCCCCAAACCCCTATACCCTCCCTGGGTGGAGGGTAAGGGAGTTGGGGAAACTTTCTGGGAGTCTCAGAGCTCAGGAATCCTGTCAGGGAAGGGTGCCACTGGATTTGGAATGGGATAACTTTCCGCTACACACACACACACACACTCTCTCTCTCTCTCTCTCTCTCTCTCTCTCTCTCTCTCTCTCTCTC